GGGAGCGGAGCTATTAATGAGAAAGAGAAACGAAAAAGCTGGGGATGAAACACGAAACGAAACGAAACGTGTAATAAACGTTCAATCGAAGTTCCTTTTGAATAACGATGCGCGTAGGGTGTGTATCGCGAACAAAGAAGAAAAAAAAGAAGTATGCCTAGACTATTTTCTGCCGCATGTGTCTGTATGGTAGCACGTAAAGAGCGACAATATTATTCACCCTCCACCACACCCCCCACAACCCGGCCCCTCTTCATTCCTCTGTGTGTAGATCCCGTCGGAGTGTTAGCGATATATACGTATACATGTTCCCGTTTCAAGTGACGGCACTTCGGAGCAAAGTGAACGTCTCTCGTGCCCCGCGATCGTCGTGATTCGATACCGGAACCTCCTATGCGCGCGTCAATGAAGACACACACGTTCTTGGGTGTCGTTCGTTTCCCTTCTTCTTTTTTTCAAACATCAAAAGAAAAAAGAAGAAGAAAATAGTCGGACAAAATTTAATTCGCACTGCACGCGTTCCGTGTTTCGCAACGGTCGGTGTGCTTCTATTTTCTTTTCGTCCACGCTCGCTTTCGTCCCCGTCTACGCTTCACTCTCTTTCTCCGTGTCCTTTGGTTTCATTGTTTTCTCTATCTTCGTTTGAAACAATGCACGGACTTTATCGCGCGCGAAGCGGTGCAGGTATTTTAGAAGACGTTTAAGGTGACTCAAGCTTTACTTCTTTCTTCTGCGTTCTCCCTCTCCTCATCTTCTTCATCATTTACTTCTTCTTCTTCTTCTTCTCTTTCTTCTTCTTCTTCTTCTTCTTCTTCTTCTACTACTACCGATTATTCTTCTCCTTCTGTTCTTTTTATATGTGTATATTACGATATTCATAGAGACTTTTTAAGCGGCTTTTTATTTAAGCGACGATTGCCGGATGGATTGTGCGAGAGGGGTGGTTATTATATATCTCGGCGAAGAAAAAGATACACGCGCGTATTAAACGTCCATTGTAAATATCGGTGCAATAGCGAGACCTAAAATTAATCTTATATTATTTCGTCGCGAGGCGTGCGGTTGCGCCGTTTTAAAAGAGGAGGGAATTTATTCAACGGAGAAAAGAAGTACACAATGAGACGCGTGGGCGGGGGATGAGGGAAAGAGGAACACGGACGCGGGGGAGGGGTGGGATTAACGTGCGCCGGACTTCCATATCGTCGCGGAATCAAGCGTGTTCGGCCATGGACACGTGGGACGAGGCCGGGAACGTTTCGACAGCGATGAAAGATTCGCGGAGAAGGGAAACGGAATGCAACGTTCGTCGATCGTTAACCCCTTGCCTTGTAATTCCTGTCGTAACCACGTCGGAATAACTTTGTTGCTAATCGTTTACCGAGAACCATCGAATCCACGTTTACTTTATCACGTATACCGCTAATTGAATTACGCAATCAATGCAATTTTCCTACCGAAACAGACACAGGAAAGTCAGGACTATCCGCAGTGATTGCTCTCCTGTACGAAATTCATTCCGAAATTCAAGCCGAATTCCGATTACACGCGAGTTCAAGGCCATATTATGCGGCAAGGGGTGAAGATCTTCGAGCACAGTTTCCAACTCTCGCCGCGCGGCGAAGCATTTAGACAGCGAAAACGGTGCGTCGCGTTTGTTGGAAATAAGGGAAATGTTAAAGGGGTGGGAAAAGAGTAAGACGGAAACGGTAGTTGTCCGCGCGAGACGTTTCGACCGGGGAGGGCAGAAAGATAGAAACGAAGAAAGGTAACGAAGACGAATATACCTGTTCGAACCGAGCAAGTGGGGTCGCAGGTAGACAAAGGGTGAGCGCGACACGGGAACGGGGAAGTGAGAAAAGTACATAGACGACACGCAGGCACACGTTACACGCGCCTACACACATACACACGGAACACGCATACACACACACATACACACAGAAACACACTATTGTAAGAACTAATAGTATAGTAGAGAGGTATTCTCGATATATGATATTTTTCGACGATAATAAGGAAAAAAAGAAAAGACTTTAGTTGCCGTTTTTTCGCGACGGAGACTCCGGAGCCGCGGCGAGGAGGAGGGCTACTTGTGGAGTA